CCAGCGTAACCAGCGTAACCAGCGTAACCAGCGTAATCGGCGTAACCAGCGTAATCGGCGTAATCAGCGTAACCAGCGTCATCAGCGCAGCTAGCCACCGCCAGCGTACCAGCGTACCAGCGTGCAATCACTCGCGGACACGCTTTGCCACGTCGCTCGTAGGTTTTGTATACTGTATGACTGTATGTATTGCTTGTTCCTTTTCCAATGTATCAGGTTTCAATAAAGTGCAGTTTGACATGTCACATTGGGCATATTGCTTTTGTGCGTATGTATGTGTATATATATATATATGTCTAGCACATCCGTGTGTTAGTTACATTTTGTTCGAGGTTTGCTCATTTAATTCCCGCCCGCGGCTGCCGGAGGTATGTATAGCCGTTCTTTCTTGGTGATCGTTTATTGCGGTAGCAAACGGGACCCTAACCTACAGTAGTAGGTTATGGTAGCATTGCTAGGCTGTATAGCACTAACTTCCAACATGTCAATCTCCAGTCACACAGTTTGCTCTTTTTTCCATGTGCAGATGTCAATTCCATTCTATCATTGCTAGGCCGTATAGTAGACCAATATAAAGCAACGCCAACCAATCAACACACGAATCACATTGATGTTTAACGGACGACCACTATAGCTGAATGTGACATAGACTCTAGGTTCCACGGATTTACATGGGTAAGCTCAAAAGTGTCGGCGCAATGGCCAGCTTCGAAGGCGCATTTGCCACCCTACCTTGTCACCGTTTCGATGGAAAACGCGCGCGCCCAGGGGCCCAGCACAACCACGATCCCAGCACTGTTGTGTTTTGTTTTGCTGCGCGCGGGACCGCACACACACACAATCTACCCTTTAAAAAGTAGTGCCGCAGCAGGTCGTCTGTAGGGAATGACCTAGGAGATCGATCCCCAGGTCAAATCCTGGGCAACAATTCGGACCCTGCAACAAGCAACGGTCCGAAAGTAATAAGGAATCTACCGAAACACTTTTTGTGGTAAAGGCTGCTTGCATTTTTCTATTGGAAGCCAAACCAAGCCAGTCTTGCGGTTGGCAGGCAAGCTATGCAAATTTGATTCATTTCCTGATTTTCATGTTGTTTCTTTCAACTCGGGTTGTTGACCACCAAAAAGGTGGTGGTGCCTGGCCGCGGATCCATCCACTCCATAGCCAGATGATGCCAGGGTAGGAGTGGTAAAGATGGCGGTGCTGAAGTCCGGAAAGACCGGTACTGCCAGCCATTCGTTGCTAAAACAGGACTAGTACCGTTTTAGTGTTTTTCTCCTTCGTGAACTTGCACCAGTGTCGGCCGCAAAGGCAGGTGTTGCAGGATAATGGCTTCGTGGCTGTGGGTTTAATGTTTAATCTGCGTTTTTCCTATTTTTCTACATGTTTAGTTGTCTCTTCTAGGATCTAATAAAGATGAGGGATGCGGCCGATCGCCGCTTGCAGGCCGCTTATTGCCATGTGCAGCACTTTGGCACTGTTGATTACAACCAGGTTCACATGTCCTCTACTGCTGACACATGCGCAGTTTGTCAAATCTCGCCTCTTTTCTGTTGCAGCAAGTTGGGTGTGGCTGTTGGCGCTGCTTGGTGTTTGCTTGATGCTTGCTTGTGCCTGTGGTGCTTCCGCTTTTGTTGGTGGTTCCACAGCCGGGTCCATGCGATGTGTGGACCAATGACTTTGGCCACGGGATCTCTCCACACACAGTTGGGAGGCCTCAAAGTGCAAACAGACCCAGAGCCTCGCCGAAGAAAGACTTAGAACAGACTTAGAAACAGCAGGCCGCAGGGCGCCGCAGGCCGTTTCGTTAAAGCTGAAGGCGGCGGTGCCTTCTTGCGGCGCATGTCCGCCACTTCCAACTCAATATCAGACGATGCACTCAGTCATGTAGACTCTTGGTGAATAAAGCACCCGTGTGAAGTGGACAATCCTCTTCATATGGGGGATTTATTCATCAAGAGGTCTACGTTCATGTTTTTGCAGGAACTGGCTGACGTTGGGCATCGAGCGAGTTCCTTTGACAATGAGCTGAGGGAGACTCGAAAAGAGGTGGACGACATTCAGAAGGCCGAAATGTAGACCAAGGCTTTGAGCTTGATTTTGGATTGGAAGAAGCTACTAGGAGCAAAGGGCATCGCTACTAGGAGCAAGGACGCTACTAGGGGCTCCTGGCCTTACTACTAGGAACAAGAAGCTATTAGAAACAAGAATTCATTAGAATTACTGTAGATCTAAAACTAATCTAATTTGTTCATACTTTTGCACTGAAACTGACGTAGGCACTGACTGCACCACTGTAGCATCATTTGTTTGGTGGAGTTCTCAGAGCTTTTGGGATGAGGCATTGAAAGAAGTCAGGGAGAAGACAGCTCGCACAGATGACGATGCGAAGAACATCGTGAAGAGTACCAGAGAATTGCATCAGGCACGCGTTGGAGTCGTGGCTTTGATTTTGTGTTGGTACTTTTTTGAGGGTTGGATGGTTGGACAAGAACTTTTGATGCAATGTTGTGGAAGACATACAGAAAGTGTTTTCCCTCATGGGTTTGTTGGCATTTGTTGGTTCATTGATAGGGCATTCAACAAAATTTGGCATTTGATTTGTTGTTGAACATGGAGGGACCAAAAAGTACCACACATTTTATGTTGGTGCTTCTAGGTTGGAGGCCATTGCTACTAGGTTGGAGGCCTTCTATAAGGTTAAAAGCGTTGAGCACGTTGCGCAGGTCATCACAGAAGTTCAGCAAAGATTGAGTTGCTTCGACACTGAGTTGATGGACGCCAAAAGAGGATCAGAAGACATGAAGCAGGCGCCAAGTTGTGTTTTATATCTTTGTGCAGGCGCGAACTTCACATTCCTTATGCACCTGGAGTCTCAGTTCGTTCCGCAGAAAATGGGTGCAAGTACTCATTTTTCTAGGGTCACGTTCCTTTCTATAACATTTGGTGGATTTTGAGTATCGATTGTATGTTCCTTTTGCAATTTTGCTTGTGTTGGTTTGTCAGGTTTCAACAAAGTGCATGTTGACATGTCTCATTAGGTGCATGTTTTGTTTTGTGTGTTTTACGTTCAGGTTCTATTAGTTTTGTAAGTATGGCTGGTAACCCTTGTTTGCCCGGCCGTTTGTTTTAATCATACTTCTTCGTTGTGGGTGTTCTGCACCGTTGTTGACGGAGGCCTGTGTAGACACTTGATTTCAGTTGATCCAATGATTTTTTTGTGTTTGTTGCGTTATAGTTTTGGATTTCAGAGGTTTTGTTTGCAGTCTTGTTTCGCAAAAGGCACTAAGAGAAGTCGAGGAACAGACAGCTCGCACAGATGAAGATGCAAAGAACATCGTGAAGAGCACCAGAGAATTGCATCAGGCACGCGTTGGAGTACCAAAGAGTTGCATCAGGCACATGTGTTTTCTTTCGGGGATGTCACGTTAAAGGATGTTTACAACTACTACCCCCACAGATTGGAGGGATTCATGATCGCTGGACACTGAACAAGATGGAACCAATCCCAGACACGACCTGTCTGGGACCGCCAGTCCGGACTGCCTTCAAAACGGCCGCTTGGGTGGTTGCCAGGGGGTCTGGCTGGGGTGGCAGTCCTGCAGTCCCAGACAGGTCGTGTCGGGGAACCGTCACCACGACGACCGACGGAGTCCGTCGCCCCGGTCCGACGCCTCGAAGTTGGGGGTCGTTTCGCCCGCCGGGGCCGATGGAGTTTCAGACCTGGTCTCGGTCGCGTAGCGTTTTTCCGTTGGCTTTCGTGGCATCGTCGGATTGCGTCGTCATCGGGTCTCGGCATGGGGATCGGATCCACGTCCTCGAAGCCTCGCGCGGTGAGCGGAGCGACCCGCGGCGTCACCAGTGTTTGCCGGTGCATGTTTTGTTGCGAAGATGGAAGATCACAGGAGTTGGAACAGCGATCTGGTAGCCCCTGTCACGCGTGCCCAAAACAACAACCTTGAGAGAAGAATATTTGGATGCAGTGATGCCTATTCTTTCAGTCCATTCTTTGGAAATCCAAACAATTCCAAGGCTGTATGGTGCTTCCCATGTCTCTGCATGGCGGAAATCTGCACCGAACTTACGGTCCAGTTCTGCAGGCATAGGTATCAAAATAAAAATAAAAAGAGCATCAAAAAAATAATAAAAACAGGATCAAAAAAAAATAAAAACAGGATCAAAAAATAAATATTCCTTGATAGGCCTCTTCTGCTGCTCTCCTGGCCTTGTGGTTTGCGGGTCCTCTGGTAATGTGGTCCCTTGGTCCTCTGGTCCACTGGTCCTTTGGTCCCCTGGTCCCTTGGTCCTTCAGTCCACTGGTCCCCTAGTCCTCCGGTCTCCTGGTCCTCTGGTCCTGTGCTGCTGCTGCTACTGCTACTGCTACGCTGGTGCTGCTGCTGCTGCTGCTACTGCTACTGCTACTGCTACTACTACTACTACTACTACTACTACTACTACTACTACTACTACTACTACTACTACTACCCCAACCATCCTCAGTGGGCTAGAATATTTTTTTTTTGATTCCCTTTTTATTTTTTTATTGATCCCCGTTGAATATTTGTTTTTTGATTCTTTTTTTATTTTTTTTTGATCCCTTACCCGTGCAGGTCATCACGGAACTTCGGGAGCGTTTGAACTGCTTCGATGCCGACATGAAGGATGCCAGAGAAGGTTCCCAACACCTTGGACAGGCGCCCCGAACTTGCCTGGGCCGAATTTGGAGTTTGCCCCATGTGGAGGGATGGGTCAGGTGTCCTTTGGACTGTTCCAGGACCTTCAAAGAGGCCTTTTGAGATCACAGTTTGAGGTCAGTTGGTCCATCAAGAGGTCGCTTACAGACTCCAAAGAGGTCACGAACTGAAGGTCCTGGTGACTTTATTATAAGGAAAACAAACAGTCTATGCATGGAACATCCATTGATTACTCGAGGTTTGGGCCGCAAGATGAATTCCACTTCTTGAAACATCCCAGAAAGAACAGACCAGACAGTCGGACTGGTTTTCTGCGACACGGCACAACCGTGGGATGAACGAAGATGGACTGACTGGTCGTCCACAGGGGATAAGAACGACGTTCGAACTGGAGAAAGAACGACGTTCGAACTGGATCAGCAGGTCTATTGTGACAGGAACGTTTTTTTTTCATGTAAGTCCTGGAAGGTGAACGCAGGATACGTCCGGTGTGCGTGGTGCGGTACAAAGGGCGGATTATGTCGTTCAGGTGACGAACTGCTGGGGGGACGTTCTCTGCCGGTTGACGCTGGTTGGCTGGAGACCAGGTGAGCAATGGGGAGTTTGCAAGGGTTTGACATTTGTTTTTTGGTGATTTCCAACAAAACAACACTCATATTTCAGAATCCAAGTCTCACTTTCAAGTTTTGCTCTCAGTGCTTCCGGTTTTCCACGCTTACCGCCGCCGCTTACCCGTTAACAGTTTCTTTGTTCATGGAAGACATCAAAACCGCCGGTGCGCGTTTCTTTCCACCCAATTCTCTCCGCTCGAAGCCTGATGGTCGTAGTCGTAGTCGTAGTCGTCGTCCGGGGGGCGGCGTTGTCCCACACATCTCAACTAGTGCCCTCTCAAGATGTTGTTTTTGGTCCGATGGTTTTCAGTACATAGCCAGGTGAGCCAGCTGATGTGGCAACATATCGTGTCGTTTTAAGTCTTCACCAGAAGTTGCGAACTACACTTGACTAGAAGATGTTGCAACCACATGACGCCAGGTGTTTCACTGCGTTTTCCGCCAGGAAAACCTCGACGCGCGCACTGGGAGTCCGTGCGGTGTTAGCGCGCCGTGAAGCGCCGCCGTTGCAGGTGGTTGCAGGAGTACAGCAGCAAACGGATGGTTTCTTGTTTGAACTCACTGGCATGAAGAAGAGCAAAGAAGAAATGCAGGAGGCCGCTGTTCCTTGGGGGAGCCACATGTAACGCATGTGTGATATTTCTGTATGGAGTATATAGTAGAAGGATCAAGAGAGGACATCAAGTCTCAAGTGAGATACAAGGTGCTTTGGTGATATGGACTTGCATGGGCTCTCAAAGAGTCTTGAACCTTGGAAGAGTCTCACGATTTGACGACGCGTCTGCCTTGGTTTTTCCGACGTAGGGCACGTAGCTGACAGCTGGTGCTGAACGCACAGGGCACGTAGCTGACAGCCGGTGCAAAGCCACGTGGAACTGTGGTCGACATCTCTCCCGTTTGCTAATACCTTGGAGCTCTAAAAGACAGCAATCTTGATGGAAGCACCAAGATTGGACCCCGTTTGCAGGGATCCTTTGAAAGAATTATTGGGAAGTCAAGGGCGTTGCGGGCAAATTGTGGTGTTTCTTCGGCAAGGTCTTCAGAGAAGCTCAAGGACATGCACAGAGAGATCTGCAGGTGTTGAAGGGCTCCTTTGAAACCCTTCAACAGGCGCAGCAGCTGGAAATTTCAGCACATGATCATTCACGTGTTTGTGTCAATGCCCCAACAAGTAATGATCATCATGAAACATGTTGGAGGCCATCGCTACTAGGTTCATGAATCATCATCATTGCTGAGCAGCACGATGCTGCAGTGCTGCAATGCTGAGCTTGAGCCGAGAAGAGGGGAGCATAAACGAGGTGTCGCCCAGAAACAAATTATAATATGAGGGTTTCCAGAATTGGGCGGAACACCCAAATCATCAATTTTGATGGCTTGTTTAATCAAAAACCCTCCATGAATGGGGCACCCCAAATAAATGGAAACCCTCCATATAGAGTCTGTTTGAGAGGCCTTGGAAGATGTCTCGGAGATGGTCACTCAAAGAGAGGCTGAAACAAAGAGCAGGGAACGTGTGACTGAGGAGCTTCACCAGGCACAGCCGCTGTGATTTCGAAAGTGATGCAGCAAGGAACATCATTGAGCAGATGTTCTTTTTTCCAAACTGGTCGCTTGAGGACCCAAATGAGGTCACTTTGAGACTTGAGACACTCCTGGCATATACATTTACATGGTTCACTCAGATTTGTTCTTTTGCAGAACGCATGGACGAAGACAGCACCCTGTGCAGAACAGGTTGTTGCAGAAGTGCAGCAGCAAATGGGCGGCCTACAGTCAGAACTGACCAACATGAGGAAGGGCACAGAAGACATGCAGGAGGCCGGTGTTCATGTTCACGGTGCTTCATGTTCTTTTCAGCCATGAATTACATCTTGGTACTAGTTGAGAAAGCATATAAATACCTGATCAGATCGGCTGCGACTGGTCCCTCCAAGCTGAAAAGAAGACCCGTCTCGTCTCCGAACGCCCAGACCGGCGAACCCGGTGAACCCGCCCCGCAAACGGTGAACCCGGTCCGCTCCGACGGGCGACGGTTGGCAGACACTGGTCCGCTCCCTGGAAGTCTGGAGATCGATCCATTGTGCCATTGGGTTGAGCTTGCTTCGACGGGAAATCCCACACATCACAAGCTTCCTTGGTTGCACGAGAGGAAAAGACACCGATGGCGTGTTTTGTTTTTTGTTTATGTTGAATTCTTTGGGATGTTTGGAACCCACTGACTCATATTTTTCAAGTGAGTTAACCAGCAGGATTGAACCGTTCCGTGCTGTGTTAGTCTCATATCTAGTTGGGTTGAGTTTCGACACCTGAACCCACAACAAGTTTCCTTGTTACACAAGAAGTCTTGTGCCTTATGCTGCTGCTTCACTGATCAAGATGTGATGCTTTTCGGGCAAGGTCTTCAGAAAAGCTCAAGAAGATGCGCAGAGAGACCTGGGGGTGTTGAGGGTCTCCTGTGAAGCCCTCCAGCAGGCGCCAGAGAACGGACTCGCATGAGATGAAGATGAATTAACGATACTTTCCCTGGATCTAGCATGGAAATTGAAAACCCCCTGCTTGTAGAGGAAAATGGTCTTCCAAGGGGCAACTTTACACTTCCAAGGTGTGTAGTACATGGATCAAGTGTTGGGAGAACTCATAAATTTGTGGAAACAATAAAAGCACAAAGTACGACTGGAGTGCACTGTCGACTCAGACTCGTTCCAATCGACATGATCAGCGGTGCTTCTTCAACACGTTCTAAAAGGGTCGAGCGATAGAGTTGCCTTTTGCGAGAGGCCTTGGAAGATGTCTCTGAGAAGATAACTCAACAAGAGGCAGAGACAAAGAGCAAGGATCGTGGCACTGAATCTCTTCACCAGGTGCAGTAGCCGAAGCAAGGAACATCCAGCAATGAAGGTTTCACAGCAGCTGTGATGCTATTATTGTTTATATAGAGATGTTTAGAGTCTGCAAAATGTCCATTGCGACCGCACAGGGGGCCATGCTAAATCTCCGGACCCAGTTGACCCGGTTGACCCAGTTGACCTCAACCGGGTCAACTGGGTCCACCGCCACCACGACTACTACTGCTACTGACCTCAACTGGGTCAACTGGGTCCGGAGATTTAGCGTAGCGACCGCGTCAACTGGGCCCACCGCCACCACCACCACCACGACGACTACTACTACTACTACTTCTACTACTGGGTGAACTGGGTCAACTGGGTCCGGAGATATAGGGTCAACTGGGTCAACTAACCCTCAGTTCAACAACGGTCCAAACCAGGGATCAGGTGCAAACCAGGTGGATTTGTGGATCTTTTCCAGGCCCAAAGCAGGGATCAGGTGCTTCGTGTTCGATCGTCACAGTCTATCCACTAAACCACCGACAACTAAGTCAGCTCATCCATAGAATTCTGAAACCTGACCTGTATTTTAGATCAACACCAACCATCCTCATCTGTGGCAACATGGAACTATAAAGACATGATCTAATCAATGGAAACCAATCTCAACATTAGACATTCCGTGTAGAGCTTACTTGTTCAAGTTCAACAACGGTCTCCATCACAACCTCGGTTGATCCAGCTCGATCCACTTCAGAAGCCAACAGTTGGGGACCGCTTCTTCCTGTGGGTCAAGAGGTAGCTCTAGATCTATCGACGACCTGTGAGCAAGCGAGTTGGTGATGTAACACTACTAAAAGAAAGCTAGAAACCAAGATCAACACAAGGCATCTTGTGTCGAGCTTGGTTGGGACTCCCTCTTCCATCGAGTCGACCATGGCTGCATAAACAACATTTACATATAAAAATACATATTCTAACCATTGGAGACCGAGCTCAACGCCAGGTGTCCCGTGTTGAGGTTGGTTGAAGACTTTTCCTGAGCCAGTTGAGACATTGCCTCCATCAGAACCTCAGTAGAAAACAAACACACAACAATAATGAGTTGTGAAAACACAATCTAACACATAGAAACCACACTCCACACCAGGCATACCATGTTGAGGTTGATTGGTGATCTTTCCTGATCCAGTTCAGACAATGCCTCTATCACAACCTAGTAGTAGCAGTGGACCCAGTTCATTCCAGTTGACCCGGTTGACCCCAGTTGATCCAGTTGACCGAGTTGACCCCAGTTGACCCCAAGGACCCACTTGACCCAGTTGACACGTAGTAGTAGCAGTAGTAGTCGTGGTGGTCGAATTGACCAGGCGGCTACACTAAATCTTCGGACCCAGTTGACCCCAGTTGACCCAGTTGACACGTAGTAGTAGCAGTGGTAGTGGTCGCAGTGGTCGACTTGACCAGGCGGCCACACTAAATCTCCGGACCCAGTTGACCCAGTTGAGGTCAATTGGGTCAGCTGGGCCAAACCACAGATTTAGCGGCCCCCTGTGCCGACGCACTCAAAATGTAATTATTTAAGATTTTTCACTTATACTGACTTGCCGTTTTGTTTGCTCTTCACAACACTGCGTGCGCAAAGACGGCACCTTGTGCAGAACAGGTTGTTGCAGAAGTGCAGCAGCAAGTGGGCAGTTTACAGTCAGAACTGCCCAACATGAGGAAGGGCACAGAAGAAATGCAAGAGGCCGGTGTTCATGGTGGTTCATATTCGCGCATGTATCGGACAGGACGCAAGCTCAAACAGAACTGAAATCGTATCTATTTCTACAGGATTGAACCGTTCCCTGCTGCTCGGGCAAGGTCTTCAGAGAAGCTCAAGAAGATGCGCAGAGAGACCTTGGGGTGTTGAAGGATTCGTGTGAAGCCCTTCAGCAGGCGCCAGAGAACGGACTCGCATGAGATGAAGAAGAATTAATTATACTTTCCCTGGATCTAGCATGGAAATTGAAAACCCCCTGCTTGTAGAGGAAAATGGTCTTCCAAGGGGCAACTTTACACTTCCAAGGTGTGTAGTACCTGGATCAAGTGTTGGGAGAACTCATAAATTTGTGGAAACAATAAAAGCACAAAGTACGACTGGAGTGCACTGTCGACTCAGACTCGTTCCAATCGACATGATCAGCGGTGCTTCTTGAACACGTTCTAAAAGAGTTGCCTTTTGCGAGAGGCTTTGGAAGATGTCTCTGAGAAGATAACTCAACAAGAGGCAGAGACAAAGAGCAAGGATCGTGGCACTGAATCTCTTCACCAGGTGCAGTAGCCGAAGCAAGGAACATCCAGCAATGAAGGTTTCACAGCAGCTGTGATGCTATTATTGTTTATACATAGAGATGTTTAGAGTCTGCAAAATGTCATTATTTAAGATTGTTCACGTATACTGACTTGCTGTTTTGTTTGTTCTTCAGAACGCTGCATGCGCAAAGACGGCACCTTGTGCAGAACAGGTTGTTGCAGAAGTGCAGCAGCAAGTGGGCAGTTTACAGTCAGAACTGCCCAACATGAGGAAGGGCGCAGAAGAAATGCAAGAGGCCGGTGTTCATGGTGGTTTATATTCACGTATCTATCGGACAGGACGCAGGCTCAAACAGAACTGGAATCGTATCTATGTTTCTACAGGATTGAACCGTTCCCTGCTGTGTTAATCGCACATCATTGGGTTGAGGTTCCACACCTGGAAATCTGCCCACAACAAGCTTCCTTTGTTAGAAGTCTTGTGCCTTATGCTGCTGCTTCACTGATCAAGATGTGATGCTTCTCGGGCGAGGTCTTCAGAAAAGCTCAAGAAGATGCTGAGAGAGACCTGGGGGTGTTGAGGGTCTCCTGTGAAGCCCTTCAGCAGGCACAGCAGACTGTTCTTGATTGCCTCGATTTGGGAGACAAGAACTTCGGAGCCAAATTGTTTGCAGTGCACGTCAGTCTCCAAAAAGTACACGTTTCTGCGGGAGGCTTTGGAAGATGTCTCTGAGAAGGTGGCTCAAAAAGAGGAGGCAGAGAGCAGCGAACGTGGCATGGAAGCTCTTCACCAGGTGCGGTAAGCTACCACTATTTGTTGCGTACTGGGTCCTGCCATGAGCTTCAGAACGAGCGTGACCAAATCAAAACGAAAGACGGCGTTTTTTGGGATGTCCAGCAGGTCGTTTCCTGCTTCCAGTCGGAGCTGACGAGCATGAGGAATGGGACAGAAGACATGCAGGCCAGGCCAGTTACTGGACATTGGTGTGGACATACCTTGACCCTCCCCTGTCAGATCAGGTAATTACGTATTATACCATCTTATACCCATTTTCTGAGGTACTTTGAGACTCCACGTATTGACCGTGTTGCTTCGCACTCTGCGTTTTGGTGCTGGATCGAAAACAACACCCAAGAAGCAATGTAGCGATATGTAGCGATGAATCTTCCATCCTCATGACCTTGAGTGCTTGGGATTTGGAACTCTCCGGATTTGGAGACATCAAGCAAAATTCTCCAGAAGTGGATGCGTCTCAGCGGTCACCAGTGTCGTTTGGATCGTTGTGGGGTCGGCTCCCAAAAGGTTTTGAAAAGAATTATGCAACCCCAGTGGATCTAGACTAAACTGTTTTGCTGCTTACTAGTGATTCTTGAAGACTAAAATCCATAGACCAGACAAAACCCTGGATTTCTTATGCACCCATTTGGAAGGTTGAGTTCAACCCATTGCTTCTTGGGAGGCGAAGCTCGGGGCGAGTGAAGGGGATCTTCGGGAGCTTTGGAACGCCTGTCAGCAGTGTCAAGAGGCGACGCCGGCGACGGGCGAAAGTGAGTGGAGTGTCACGAGTCATGAGCATGAGCAATGTCGCTAGTACCATGGGTGACGGGCTGGAGAGAAATTGATTTCGTTGTGTTTTTGCATGGTAGTCTTTTTGGGAGGGTGACCCTCAGACAGATTTGGGTTTAGAAACCGAACCATACCGAGACAAACATTGGTTGCAAGTCTGGCATGTTTTGTTGTTTTGTGAGTGTTGTGGACCAAGCATTGGACAAGCCGAGTTGGTTGCACTGAGTCCTTTATCAGCGGAGTCCTTCGCCAGCTTTAGCAGTTTCTTTAGACGACCCTGACCATATTAATAGCTTTAAACACAATATAGTCAGATATGCCGGTTGATTATTTCACCATCTTTATAAAATGGAACACCGCAGCCCAAGCATAGGTCACCTGTATGTCATGAGTGTTTGTTCTTTGCTTTTTTGTAGGGATCTGGGTTCTGGTCGTGGAACAAGAGGGTGACCAGATGCAACATCTACCAGCTACAAGTAATTTTCCTCGTCATCTTCTGTAGTATCTTCTGAGTTGAAATCATATAGTACCGGATTTCCCCGCAAAATCATGAGGAACAGTGCCTGCCACGTAAGCATTTCCAGCTGGGGATGTCAAACGAACATGAATTCTGTTGGCGTAAGGGTTTTGGTATTCGGAGGCATAAGGAACACATTTGGTCGCGTAAGCTAAGCGTCAGACAACGTGTAAGCCAATTGAGACGGCATTGACATAGAGCTGGAAGATCCTGATGTTTGTTCGAGAAGCTCACATGTCAACGCAATGAGCTGGTGTTTATTTTTCCCCACATCACTATGTGGGGTTCTAGTTTTTCGCTCTGCACCCGCCGCTCCGCCGCCTCCGCCGCCTCCGCCTCCGCCGCCCGCCACTCATCAACTCACACCACCTATCTAACACCATCTATCTCACACCACTCATCTTAGACCACTCAACATACGTACTCATCTTACACCACTCCCCATCTTACACCACCCATCTCACTCATCTTACACCACTCAACTCACAC